GACTGATGGTCACCATACAAATCCTACCAAATGGCCCTCTTAACACAAAACTTCTTCATCTTCTTTAATTAATTGGCCACTTTCACACGTACGTGTATCAACTCTCTCTTGCTTCGCCACGTGTGAAAAACCCTTCTTTCGCTTGCTACTTACTAAGTTACGATATACTACTAGCTAGTAGTACTATTCAAATGGCTAGTCCCGGCTCATCTGGCCGGAAAATGGAACCAGTGTACCGAGGAATCCGGTGCCGTAGCGGGAAATGGGTGTCCGAGATCCGTGAGCCGAAGAAAACCACTCGAATCTGGCTCGGAACTTACCCCACGGCGGAGATGGCAGCTGCCGCCTACGACGTGGCTGCTTTGGCTCTTAAAGGTAGAGAAGCTGTCTTGAATTTCCCGGGATCCGTGCGGTCATACCCGGTTCCCGGGTCAACATCCGCAGCGGATATTCGAACCGCTGCGGCCGCTGCTGCAGCGGTGAAAGGGTGTGATGTAGAAGAGGTAAAGGAAAAGAAGAAGAGTAGTACTAGTTCGTCGAAGTTGAGAGCGCGTGATTACCACGTAGATTTTGACAATATGGCCTCTTCTTCGTGGTGTGGGGCAGAGTTTATGGACGAAGAAGAAGTCTTGAATATGCCTAATTTGTTGGCTAATATGGCTGAAGGGATGATGGTTGCGCCACCGTCTTGGATGGGTTCTCCGCCATCGAATGACTCTCCAGAGAATTCAAATGATGAGAACTTGTGGGGCTATTGATTGGTTTAATTTGTGTTGTCCACGTATATGTAATCATCTTGTTGTTGTTGCTTTTTGTTAATTATATATGTCACTTGTGTGTTTTGTTTTGTATTAAGGGTGTTCTTGTATTTGTGGAATTAGGGTTTGGGTTTTCTTGGATTTTTAGGGCTTAATTAGCCTTCTAATAATCTCCCTTTTATCTCGCGACTTCGTGTATTGATTTATATTATTACTCTTTGTATATTTAGAACAACATAAGTTTGTTCTTATGTAAGATTATATAGTTTATGTTCTTAATTAAGTTTGGTTTTGTTCAATGCTTCTTCTTGTTAAACGACATAATACCTTGAGGTAAAACATAAATATGGGTTTCACATATGAGATTCTCCACAAATTTAACGCCACTTTTTTTTATTTTTCAAAGTTTGGTGTTTTCAATAGATCCAATATTGTGATGAGTTATAATATGAACTTTGTGGAATTTCCTCATCTTGAAGAGATGCATAATTGAATGTTTACTATATGACCAATAATCAATTGTTTTGACTTTCTATATTTCTTTATTATAAAGCATTGTTTTCTACATACATAACATATCTACCAATGTTTCGTCACATGTTCGTTGCTAAAGATATATATTCGGAAATCCATCCAGCGATCTATATTCCACTTAATTCGTCTTGTAGTGATGTGTTTTCATATGTATCGATTGATTGATTGATGCTTATTTACCCAACG